CTTTTTTTTTTTTTTTTTTTGTGATTCTGCTGAATGTTTATGGATGCCTGTTGTTTTGGAAATGGAATTAAAACAAGAGCTCAACTTGAAAACTAGGGCTGTTAATGAAGAAAAAATGCAATTTTGTTCCTCTTCATGCAATAAATTAATATCAATAATTTGGAAAAGAAGTCTTGTGAGGAATTTCCAGAGCAGTGACTCCTGGTTAATTGTCTTTTAAGATGCACCTCGTTTTCAGTTGCATGGTACGCTTGTTGAATTTGTTAAAATGACACATCTATTTGTAACCCTCTGATAGGAACCTGATTAAATGTTTTGCCTCACTCGTTGCAGATTCAGCCATGTCTCTTCTAACAAATGTCGATTACACTTGCCATTAATTTTTACTTTTGCAGCCCCATTAAGGTTTTAAGAAGGTTTGGTCTGTTTATAACACGTTTCTTTGTGTGTGTGTTAATAGGAGAGCTGGCTTCACTAAGAAAGCGTGAGGTTTTCTTTGTTGTTTTCTTCTTCCCTTTATATCACATTAACATTCATTGACAATCACTTCTTTAGCAGCTGGAATGAGGAATGTTTATAACAGATCATACCATGGCTGAGGTCCTTCCCTTGTGTCTTCAGGCACACAGGCACTCCAGTTGTGTTACCTTTGGTGACCAATCATTTTCAGACAAAACCTGCTGCTTTGTAGAGCCAGGAAGAGCTTCAGATCCTTTTGTGCTGAAGAGCTGGTGATGAGCCTGGAAGGTTCTTTCTGGTTCTTCACAAGCGAACACAATCCTTGCAGAATCGATGTTTGTAAAGATCACTGACATCTGCCCATCTGAGCTGTAGATATTTACCTACTGCAGTGTTTTTATTTTACTGCTTTTAATTCTATGTTTTTAAAGAGAGGATTTGGCTGGAATTCTGTCTTACAGTGTAACTGAATTGGACACAAGCCTTGTCCTGGCTTGTAGCAGTTGGCCAACGAAACAAAGGGTGCTGTGCTGTGGGGCAGCCCTTGGGGAAGGAAACAAAGCTGCCTCTGGGATGTGCTGTGTGTCAGAGCTCACACAGCCGCTCCATCACACACTTCTCACCTGGGTCCTAAATGCACAGATAGTAGCAGACAGCTCTGTGTCTTACAGCATGTCTCTGTGTTATCAATTGCTTTAATTTCCCCAAGCTACACAATGTCTGACCTGGATAACATTGGCCTCCTGGTGTCTCCAAGTGAGAGTGAAAACAATTTCCAGGAGAACTCCCTGTGTTGCTCTGAAGGAATCTGACATTTCTGTGCCAGAGGATACAGGCAGCTGGGTTCAGTGATTTCTTTCTCCCGGTGTGGTGGCAGATGTGAAAGCCTTCTCTAGTGTGCTTCAAAAGGATTTGGTCCTTAGAAAGAAGTAAGTGAAATATTTATTAGAGCTCTGTGGGAATCAGAACTTTTATCCCTTGTGAAATTTATATTGTTAGAGGAGGAGGAATTGGACTGAGTTATGAGCAAGCCAAAACATATCCTGTGCTGGGATACATTTGCTAAAGACAAGCAGACTACAAGGCATTATTTTTCTGTGGGTTTTGTACCTGCAATAGAGCTTTGCACAAATGGGTCACAAGTCACATTTGGGATGTCACAGGGACTGAGACTTGACACTGAACTGCATCCCTTCCCATTCTCCAGGTGCTGTTTCAAATAGGATTTAAGCTCTTGGGCAAGGATTGTGTATGCTGCAGCTTCGTAAACTGAAGGAATATTTACAAATGTATTTAACTACCAGAGCTTCATAAATAGTCGGGTCTGTAGCAAAGCAATATAAAAGAACATTTTCTATTAATATATGCACATGTTTTCAGAGAGACAATATTTGTTTAACAATTCTTATCTCGAGAGTGCTTATATGATGTCAAGGTTTTATTCCCACGCCTTATTTTCCTAATGATCTAATTTCATTACCTTTACATCAGAGTCAGAAAAAATTCTCTGCAAGCAGCAGGCCTTTCAAAGCACAGCGAGGCTTAAGGCTCAGGCAGGGATTTGTATATCCCATTAATTTTCTTAATTGCAAACATAGCCTCGGTGCCTTGTGTAATAACCACATTTCAAAACAGCATGTGGCTCATTAAAGTCCTAACATCTGAACTTGTGGAGTAAAGGTAACCAAATAATTAATCTGAGTAGTGTTCCTTTGATTAGTGAGCGTGTGCCCACTAGAAGGCACTATCTGCTAGAGTTATAAAATGAGCAAAGAAAGAGCTTCGTGTAGAGGAGTCCCCACAAATACCTCCAGAACAGCAGACAGGTGCAGTTTTAGGGGATGGGCAATGTGTCTAGCCAGTTACAGCTATTGCACTGCAAAACCATAAGGAATCAAAATTACTTGCTTTTTGGAATCACAGTGACAGATGCATTTATAATATGAAGGAATGAATGTCTCGAGCCTTCTTTAGAGAGGAACGGTGAGCGCTCTGAGCCCTTCCCCGGGGTTTGGAAGAGGAGGGTGAGGTCTATGTCTCACTGATTTCCACTGTAATCTCAAGGCAAATCAATTTCCTGTGGCTCACTCCAGCTACAGAAAGGAACCGAGCTGCTTATTTGAAGTGTTGAGGCAGTAAGTCCAGAGGAAGCCAGGTAACATGAATTTGCACCTATGTTTCTTGTCTCCCTTGACAACAATAGATTGCAAGAATTGCAAGGTGTAATCTTAGTAACTCCTTCTGAGCTCTGTCCTACATCAGGCAGCAGCACAGGCCACAGTACTTACCAGGAATCTGAGGAAACCTGCCTGGCTCCAACTCAAGGAAAGAAAAGCTTTGAAACTAGCTCTCACAGACAGCAGGTGTCAAAGCTCAGCGTCTCTCTGACCTACGCCCAGCTTCATTTGCTGCACAGACCAGATGGGGTGAGCTAAAGAGCTGTCTGTATGCAGTTCTAACTACTGTCCATTGTCTTCAGAGCAAAGATTAAAGATCCACTTAAGGTCTCCATAATTCTGTATCACTTATCAGTTGGCCTGAGTGTTTCAAAATTGAGATTTATGTTTTGGATGTCTGTAACGAGAGCATCGCTCCTGCTAGAAAGATAGGAATCAATACAGCAGAAGAGACGAGACAGAAGTTTCAGATTTATTTCTGTTGCCCAGTGTGAGATCCTCAGGCCAGTGCACACAACTTTGTGCATTTGTAACAGCTTCCAGCTTGTTTCTGGATTCTCAGACAGAAAGCAGTACCACTAGATATGCTACGAAAAGCTTGGCTTGCATGGTGTCACTTCTAATTTTTGTCAGATTCTCTTTGTTGTTGTTAATACAGATTTTTTTGGTGGAATTATTACACAAGTCTGTACAAAATTGCACTGGTTTCGAAAGCTACAGTGGAAGATGCATTTTCTGTTTTGCAAGGGAATCGAAGTAGGGCGCGTTTAACCAGCAAACATTTGTGAGAATAAACTGCAAGAGGTAAATATGTGAGTAACAAAATACAACAATATGTTACCACGATGAAAGCAGACAATTTGTCTTTAAAGAAAGTGGTTATATGGACTTAAATATACAGATAACTAAATAAAAAATGCAAGCCACAGTTTCAAATGACAGCCCTACGCAGAGCTTGGCTTAAATGAATATATGGAATAATTTTCTTCTTACGTACCGTGGTTTCAGCTGGGATAATTTCCTGTGCATTTGGTCTGAAGTGTAACTGTGTATAAAAGGCTGATTTAGTAAGGCACGAATCGTGCTCAGCCATTTATTAGACAGAATGTACCCATATGCCAGTCTGTATTCTACAGTGATTGCGCTCAAGTCTTTCTATAAGTAAATTACAATCTCTTGTGTTAGATTTTGCTTTAATATACATAACCTGGCTATTTGGTAACACATCATAATTTATTAGATTTTTCATGACATTACAAATAGCCTAAGGCTGGTATTACAAGATATATTGATACAGCTCCTACGTTCACAAAATTGCCCTATGCGTTTTTATTACAATTTCCTCTCAGTTTGGAAAAATGACCTGTCATATTGCCTTCATAATACACAGGTGCTAATTTAGTGGCATCCAGAGAGCAGCCTTAAGTGGCCCACACGTAACTGCTGACTGCCACCAGTGCTTGCTTACATTTGTATTTCAAACTGCAGTAGGGCTGCAATGATTGTCAGTAATACACGACATTGGTCATTTTTCTTCACAACAGTGACACAGTACAGACTTTTCTAGGAACACTTCATTGCCAAAATGCTGTCATGTCAGGCCCACAAATGTGGATGTGATTATAAGACCAACAGCTTTCTAAATAAGTGCTTTGGAGACTCCCAGCTGTTTGTTACTCAGAGTAGCCAGGCTCTACAATTCTAACTGGATTCTCTCCTTTGTTATTCGATATATTGTTGCTTTGTTTAGCAAACTTTGTTTTATAAACAGATGAGTGATTTAAACTGAAAGATCCCATACACAAGTTCCCACAATCCCATCCCAACTCTATAAAGTATCAATATTTTAATCATTATTGTTCCAAGACGCTCCTAAGTGACACACTGTCAGTTTCAAAGTGTAGTTTTACAGTGTCACAAAAAGCAGAATACCATGGTGAGATTTTTTTGTAATTGAGAATTCTTTGTCTCCCTAACAGATCAGAATGGCAGTGGTAGCTTTGTTGTGTACACACGTCTCTACTGTTAAACATGTATTTGTTTTACATTCTAGGAGCACATAGGCAAGGTAATATCAACATGAGATGACTTTGATAATCAATGTCTTATGTTTCCAAAATCACCTTACTTACATTTATGAGGAGAAAACAATACAGTCATCCTCTAGTCAAGAGAATGATGCTTGGACCTAAGATTAATGCCAGGTTTCAAACTTGTGCTTCACTCCACAAAGTTACATAGGACAACTTAAGATCTCCACTGGACAGCAGTCATTATCTGTTTAGCTATCAAAAATGAGATGTCTAGAAAAAGTATGAGGGAAAAAAGTGACCTCACAAAAAAAAAAAAAAATACACCCGGTAATTAAGATCCGTAAGATCTGCATTTTAATAACAACTAATTGATCCTCGTAACAAGAATTCGAGAGGTGAAATTACAGTACACAAATTGAAATATAAACTAACCTATCCTAGCTATACAGTATACATTAAGAATGCAAGCTCTGTAACAATATAAAAATGCTTTTACACACAGTAGTTGCAAAAAGCTGTTCTGTGAATTCCAAGGGCTTATAGAAAAAAAAACAAAGTCTTCCAGCATTCACCTTAAGTTATTGGCAACCTGTGGGGGAACAAGAAATAGCATGAATATAACTGAGAAGAATTGCAGAAAAAAACACACTGATCAGAAGTTTTCATTTGTGAGTTTCAAGCTAAGGAAATTGGCACTGGTGGCAAGGAAGCCCATAACAACTTGAATTTGTAGTCCAAGTACACAAAATATAGATCTCTTAACATGCAAGTGTGCCTGTTTCAAATAGGCTGCATGGTACTTGAGGTGTGACCTCTGAATTTCAGACATAAGAGCCTGAGACTCTTATTAAACCCCCTTAAAAAAATGTTATCTACCATTGTATTTATTTCCCCATTGCTTTCCATGGATTATAAAAATTAAGTTCTGCATGAACCAAAACAAAATCTTCTTGCTTACATATTGCAACACACAGCCCCTGCTTATGCTGGAATGCTTCTGGCAATCTTGCATTGCCCTTATCGTGTGAGAAAGCTTCTTGTATTGTAACATACAGCAGTGCTCTATGGGAATTTCAGCCTACCTCACAAATCAAAGCAAAAATTCTTTTTTTTTTTTTTTTGTCTTTTACAGTCAGTAATTTCAAGCAACCTGAGCATTCGTTGCAAGGCAAACTGTCTCACCTTAACTCTTGTTAGTAGCAGCAGGGGCTTTGTTCTCTCCTTCCAGTTCTTCTACTCCTGCTTGTGTCATCAGGTCTGCTATGTTTTTCTCCAGGTCGTCTATGCGGCAGCTCATGTCATCAAGTTCTCTGGTTAAGGGCTATGACTGCAATGGATTAATGCTCAGGTTCTTAGCTGTGTTTGATTGCAATTATGGCACTGCTCAACTTTTATGGTTGCTTTAAAAGTAGCTTACAAATCCCACAGATATACATAAAACTGCTTCAGCATTCAAAGTGTAGAGTAGCCATCTGGCTTTAGAAAAGGATATTTCGTCCAATTATTTGGTCAGACATGGTTTGAAACTTGTCCTGCATTTGCTGAAGCAATGTCTGCACCTAGCAGAAAGAGAGGGAAAAAAAAGCCTGTTTTGCTTTCATTACAGAGGCCATCGCCTTCTCTTACCAAAACACACACCGACCCGTTTCTTGCAGCGTTCCACTCCACAAAGCACGAGCCCTACAGCACAATTCCTCATTGCCTTATATTTACGTGTACACACAGACACACGAGAACGGAAACTCAGAGAGAGCCGACAAACCCGGAGCAGGCGGCAGCAGCTCCCCGCTAAGCAGGCAAAGCCTCTTCTCTGCCTCCACGGGGAAACCAACGGCGAGCTGCGCCGAGGCGGGCAGAACCCTACAAGTGATATCTAGTGGGATCCAGGCAGAAGGGCGCAGAGGCAGAACCAGAGCACACGGACGGGGCGAGGCCAAGGGATCCTCCAGCGCCCGCCCTGAGGGACGCCGCGCTCCGCCCGAGCCGCCCGCGCTCACCACGGCCGTGAGATCCTGCACGGTTTTGGGGTCGGTCTCCGCCATGGCCTCGGCAGCGGCTCGGCGCACCCCGGGCTCCACAGCAACGATACTTCCGGGCCGCGCCTCGAGACTTCCGTCCTAGAGCTCTCGCGAGAAGAGGAGTTCCCGCGGCATTCTGGGAAGTGCGGTCCGCGCGGCCGCAGCGCCTGAGAGGCGTTGAGGGCGGGAACAGTCGGCGCGCCACGGGAGCGCGCAGCCCCTTCTCTCTCACAGAGACGTTCAGGTTGGAAAAGCGGGATCGGCAAAGCCAGCCGTCCAGTTAAGACTACAAGTGCCCCGCTAAGCTATGGCTAAGAAGAAATACGCCCTGATATCCAACCTGAGCCTCCCCCGGCGCACAGCGCAGTAACGTGGTCCTTGAGGGACTGCAGAGCTTCGTGTGCTGGATTGTCCCTGTGGGGATGGATGCAGGAGCAGAATTCCCGAAGTGCAAATTTATGGGCTTTTCGACCAACGCCACGCATCTGTGGCTGTCGTCTGTGAGGGGAATTGATGTTTACGCAGCTTGCCTATTTATGTACTGCGAAAAGATCTAAGCAAATTGAAGTAAAGCACTGAAGGTGCGTTTGTAGATGAAGAACGTTTGCCATTAGCAGGGGATAATTCCCAAATATCTCATTTCTGGTGAAAGCAGTGAACGCTGGCACGTTCAGCCTTATCCCATAACTGCTAACAAATGTGAGATGTGGGGCATTTGCATTATTAATGTGCCTTCTGAAACACTGCAGTAGTAATAAAAAATAGAATTTAGTGCTACTTTGGGGAAATGTCGTCTGTTTAAATGTAAATATAGCTTCTAGTTCTGAGAAAGGCTAACAAATTTACTCCCGTTTGTTTGTTTGATGTGTTTACAAAAGGTTGTTGTTTCTATGACTGTTCAAGAGCTGCTGCTTTGGAAAGATTGTCATACCTGGTCTGTAAATGCACACTGAGGAGGAGATATCTCAGCTCCCAAGTGCTGATGTGAGTCACACAGCAGGCAGTGCTGCAGGCTCAGGCTGAGCTGTCCTTCAGCTGGTGCAGACCACCAAGGGATGTGGGACAGCAGTGTCTGCTGGGGCCATCCTTTCCCCTGCACCATTTCAGCATGTCTCAGAAGCAGAAGCATGGGCCAGCTTCATCTCCAGCTTTTTTTTCTTGTGGATAGTTTTGGGGCAGCTTGCCTGTGAGAATGAGACCTTCCTGAGTTGGTTTCCACACCTTGTAACTGTGGCTGTCCTGGTAGTAGTCCTGGCAAGTTCAGATGGCGTGCTTTATAGATCTGATCTTTCAGCTGGTGCCTCTTCTAACTCAGAAATTCCAGTGGCACGCTCCAGGTTTGGGGAGGTCCAAGGTGATTTCAACTTGTCACTTTAACGTTGTGGTATAGCAGTCCTGGTTATGCAAGAAGCCTGGTCAAACTGATGAAGGGATTCCTTGTGCCATTGATGGTTTTTAAATTATTGAGCAGCTGCACATTTATCCTCACACAAGTTTTGGAACTGTTTTTCATGGTAGGATAAAATGTTTTCATGATTCACCTCTTAGCACAACATAGTCAGACAGTGACTACCTTTAATATGAAGGGCTTTTTGTTTGGTTGGTTTTTTTGTCTTCTTTTTGAGATTAAATGCAGAAAAAAAGCTAAGCAGGGAGCACTGGTAGGGTTAATGATTCCCTCACAGTAATGGTCAGAGATTACTGAAATGATAGGAGATGTGGAAGGCTGGTTAATCTTGCTAGTTTTTTTTACTGGCAAAGTCTTAATTTAAATTGTACAGAGAAGGAGGACTATCAGAATTAGCAAAGAGCCTGTTGTGTTCCTTAAAGTCAAGGGGAATTTACAAAGATTGATTTAAGAACTGTTAATTAAACTCATTTTTAGTGCAGGGATAAGTAATTGCAGTGCAGAGTGCTTGGCCCATACAGCAGTAAGGCATTGTCAGGCTGTGTGCAGCAGCAGCACACTTTCAGTTTTCCCAAAAACCCAAAATGAACTTTGCCTTGGTGGAAACATGACAGATTTCTGGCACTGGCATCTTTAGATTTGTTCCTGTTTACTCTGGTGATGCAGAGTTAATGCTTAATATAATTATAATCAAGCAACCACTTGAAAAATAAAAATCAAACTGTTAATTTAACAGTTTATTTTTTATGCTATTTAATGTAAAAATCACCTAAGTGCTTAATTGTACAGAATTAAATTTGTATTTGCTGTTATACCTCCTTTCCTATAATCACAGGACAGGGATTAGGTGGCAGCTAATGAAAGGGCAAATAAATCACAAAGGCAATTTTTGCAAAGACAGTTGTTTTTGCAACAGTACTTTAATTGCTTTGTCCATCAGCTCTTATTTGGGCTCCTGGATGATGTCAGGTAATTGTGGTAGTACTGTTTGTACAATGGATGTGCACTCAGACTGTTGCAACCATTCTTACTCCTTCATGTGAGTGTGCTGAGTTTATGGATCTGAAGGTACTCAGCACATAAAAATATGTTTCCTGTACTCCAGCCAAAGACTTACGATGACATTTTGAGAATGAAATTTTAATATCTCATTGCAGCCTGAGTTGCTCACAGCATAAATTCTGGAGAAATTAGAAAAATATAACAAATGGAATTCATTTATTACTTCCAGAGGAACAGCACTCTTTAGAGGCTGTCAACTGTACACGAGGTCAAAATGTATTAAACAACAAATTCTTCTTCGAAAAGAACTGTGAAGGGAAAGCTGAATGTTCAATATCATGACTTGTGAATGTTTAACTGGTTAAAGCACAGTGTGTGGAAGCTGCAGAAGGAACAGAAGAGTGATTTGGAGCAAAACAGAAACAATTTACTGTGATTATTTTCAGATTGTTCTTATAGAATCATGGAATCATAGAATGGCCTGGGTCGTAAAGGAGCACAATGCTCATCCAGCTCCAACCCCTTGCTGTGTGCAGGTCACCAACCAGCAGCCCAGGCTGCCCAGAGCCACATCCAGCCTGGCCTTGAATGCCTGCAGGGATGGGGCATCCACAGCCTCCTTGGGCAACCTGTTCCAGTGCCTCACAACCCTGTGTGTGAAAAACTTCCTCCTAAGATCGAACCTAAACCTCCCTTCTCTTAATTTAAAACCATTCCCCCTTGTCCTGTCACTGCCCACCCTCGTAAGCAGCCCTTCTCCCTCCTATTTATACACTCCCTTCAAGTACTGGAAGGCCACAGTGAGGTCTCCCTGGAGCTTCTCTTCTCCAAGTAAACAAGCCCAGTTCCCTCAACCTTTCTTCATAGACCAATTCTTCAGCAACTAAAATAAATATCTTTAATCTGAGTAGTTCTTACACGAAGTTCACTCCTGCTAAGAAATTAAATCATTTTTGCTGTAGTTATTCTGCTCTGGTAATTTACCGTGTCTTGCCTTTTCAGTCTCTGACGAGCTGGATGTTACCCACAGCAGAACTGAGCAAGGAGCGCTTCCCTGCATCTCCGGATCTTCTGGGCCACGTGTGGGAAGAGAAAGAACAGCCAGGATTCATTAAGAGCAGACAGATTTCATTGCAGAAGGTTGGACCAGAGGAAAATGAGCAAAGTAAGATATGGAGATAGGAAGTATTATTATCAAATTTCGTGTTACTCCTTCACTGTCATTGCTCCTCATTTCTCCGCTTCATTTTAAGCAAAGTGTGACAACGTGTGGCAATATCTGTTACTTAGTAATAACTGCTTTATATTTCATAATAATGTTAATACAGTCCTTACTGGCATCTCTGGGGCCAGGACAGGAGGAGCTGTGCTCAGCAACCACCCTATAAAAGAACAAGGAAGAGATTGTAAGATTATACTTTGTTCTCTTTAATGATACTGATAGTTCTGTAAGGAAAAGGACATGTATATATGTGAAAACAGACATTATGCTGGTAGAAAAGTCCACTAAATGATACTTTAATGGTCAGTATGTGAGTTTTAAAAGAAGCTACTAAGGTATGTTTTACCTTCATACTGTCCATCTCAGTGATTGGAGAAGGCAAAGAGTCAAAGATAATTCGCACATGTAGAAGAACACGTGGGTGCCCCGTCCCTGGAGATGCTCAAGGCCAGGCTGGATGGGGACTTGGGCAGCCTGTTCTGGTGCCTGGCTCAGTGCATGGCAACCCTGAGAAAGTTTAAAAGAGAACTTCTGTGTTGGAAGGCAGTGTGGGAGAAAGGGAAAGAGCCATATTGTGCTAACGTGGCGTTGCAGTCCTGGGATTCATCTGGGAAGCTCTATAGATAACTGTCTCTATGTTGCCCCTCTCCTTCACTGCCAACTTCAGGTTCAGTCATGCCCTTAATAACAAATAGCAGCTGCTTTTTCTGATGCTCTTAAAAGCAAAATGTTAATGTATAGATACTGAATCTTTCATCATGGCTACCTGGAGCATGGACCATGCACAAAACTGAAATGTGTTCTTCTCACTCACATTGACATTTGTGACCTAAGTGTATGGAGAACTTCATTTTTTTAAGCTCAAAGTCCATTTCACCTTCAATTATAAACGTTCCAGAGGGCATCTCATTAAGGTTCCTGAATAAAGCAAGCATACCATAGATAGAAGGGACAGTTTTGTTCTGCTAATTAACTGTAAGTGATTGGATTTTTCAATCAAGTAATTAGTAGGAGTGTTGGCTGTAAGTTTCTGTGACAAAAGTCGATTTGCAGCACAGAAACACAGGAGTTCTTAATGGAGGTTCAGTTTCTTTGAGAAGCAGTGCCAGTGAAAAATGTTTCACTCTGTTGGGCCTGGATGTAGTGTCTGTGTAGCTCGTGGTGGTTTTCCCTTTAGCACAGGTGACTCTTCCTGTAAAGTCACTGAAGTGTTGCTGTCAGAGGTTCTTGGGTGGCTGTTGGCATCCTAAACCTAGGAGGTGCAGGGTCCCAGGAGGAATCCTCCTTTGCTTTGAATCCTGGCATTCCCTGGTGAATCAGAGCAGAGACAGATGAGGCTGTTTTATAGATACATAGACTGCATAGAAAGGAGTTGCTTTTAGTCCCAAAGAGATGTGCTTATGCTTTGAGAGGCATTTCAGTGCTTTATCCACAATCTGAGCACTCAAGAGT